AATCAAATACAAGCTACCTTGGATAAAAATACCAGAGTGAGAACTGAAAACCCGAAGTATAACTGGCATGCAGGATACTGACAAACTGGAAGGAGACTTAGAGAATCAATCTGGAGAAAGGGATCAAAACTGGGTTTATCTGTCAACAAAGTTTGTTGTCCCAAAGAAGGAATAAGCAGAGTGACAACTAAGAAATTGCTGGAAATTACACGTATGCAGAAGAGAGAATACAACTACTGGAAATACTATGAGAGGCCCAAACCATTAAGAGAAACGTGGCAGCCATTGGGAACTGCAGTTTACATTCTTATGCACTTATTCTGACAACCACCAGATTGCTTTAGGGAGTTTGTCTTCTTCCCCCCTTGAATTACAGAAGAATACATATGTGACTAAATTTGTGTTTACATCTCTAGGAAAAAAAAAAAATTAAAATAACAGGACTTGCAGAATTTGCTGAGCACGAGCAATTCTTTGAAGATGATGGCAGGTGGCAAATATTTAGCATTTTTGAGGATTAGGAGCTGCAATACAGACACAGATATTTTTTTTCATTTCTCTCCAGATTTCGAAAAATCTTGGGCGATGTCCTACTAACAAAGACCACACCTTCCAAGACAACTCAGGAAAAGAAATGCCAGAAGTTTTTTGTTTTGTTTTGTTTTGTTTTTAATTTCTTGTTCTGACTGCAGCATACAAGGGAAGAGGGAACAGGAAGTCTGCTATAAAGAATGCAGAGAAAGAAAGATTACAAGAAATTCTATCTTTAAAGTCTGAAAGTAGAAAAGAAAGATGGGGATCATCACTGAGAGAACTCCCTACTTTAGTTTAAGACACACCAATGCTCTGTCACTCACGCACTTTTCCCTCAGACATATCTTACTGCTTTGGAAACGCATCCCCTTCATCCCACTCTGATTTGGTGTAAATGATTACATGATGCAAACTCAGGCTCTACATCTGGTTACCACCTTGCAAACAGCCTTCCTTATTGCCTCTGCGAGTAAGACTAAACTCCCACATACAAAGGCTGAGCCTCGCTCCATCTCAACACAGGCCCCTGGCAGGAGAAGAGAGGAGTGCAGCACATCTGGGACACTGGGTGTGATGGTGCAAACTGCACACCTCTGCAGGGATTACAGAGGCAAGGGGACAAAGCATAGCCCAAATGTAGTATCTTTATTGCCACTGCAAAGGTGATTACACTTGCAACCTGTGGCTCAGCACATTTCACATGGACCCTGTGGTGCCCTCATATGCAGGGAGGCTGTGCCTCAGCTCTGAAAACTCACACACTCTCCCTCCTCCCCCAGTTTCCCCACCTGGGGAAACTTAAGGCTACTTGAGCTGCCGAAATTTGTTTTTCCCCCAGAGGTGTGGGGGAAGAGACTAACCCCCCCCCAAAGACACCCAGCACTGGAATGGTTCCTGAAGGAGGGCAAGATGCACACCCTTCTCCCCAGGCATCCCTCCTCCACTGGCCAGACACAAAAGGCACCTGAGCTGTGCTAGGAAAAGACTACTTGCAAAAGCAAGCCAGCCTGTCCTGCAGGAAAACCCAGGGGCCAGCTGACATCCCCCTGTGCTAAGGAAGCACAGCGGGTGGCTGCCAAGAGCAGGCACGTCACACGGCTCTCGCCAGGACTTACTGCGTTTAACCAGGGCCAGCAGCTGACAGGGAGGACCGGAGGGACGAAACATCCAGACACCCAGGAGCCCATAGGAACTTGCAGCCTGCAAGCCTCTAATAATTTTTTTTTTCCTCCTTTTTTTTTTTTCAATTCTGGAGACATGTGACCAGCCTTCACATACCAGAGCTGACCCCTCCCAGAGCCAGCGATTTCCTAAGAGCAGAAAAGGATGTTACCCTCCCGCTTATTCATTACAAGACTATGTTTCCTTGCTGTTACACATTAAAACCTTATGCCATCTAGGGTCCACATATCAGTTATGCTCAGGATCCTTCCAGAGAGATGCAAGAAGTGCTGTGATGCTCAGCGACCTGATATCAGGAGGGCATGGTCACGGGGAACACCTGCTTCTCCTTTCCTAACTGGCACACGACTTTCAAGGTGCAGGTGTAAATAACTCTTTGTTCTCAAATCCACCCTCCTCTTCTGTACCGGACCATGAAGGACTGCCAGCATTTCACACTCTGTTCCCCCATAAATTAATGCTGGTACTTGGAAGCGTACTCTCTCCCCACGCACTTTCCCACACATCTCTTAGGTCACCAAAATATCACGGCACAGGGAGCTGCTGAGGTTTTTGGTTTTTGTTCGCTTGGGTTGGCAGTGTGGTTTCTGGAAAAGGGGGGGTGGGTTATGCTTCTAGTGCCGCACTGCAATGTTCCACTGCTTTGCTCCCAAGCCCCTCTGCATCCCGAATTCCCCCGCTAAGCTTTGCACTTGCTGCTGTTCACCCCGCTGGGACCCCACACCTGCCTCCATCCCTACAGGACGGGGTCCTCCAGCGGCTCTTCCCGCCCGCACCCACCCTCCAGGATGTGCTGGAGGTGCTGCGGGAGCCCCCGGCTGCAGGGAGAGCCGCTGGCAGCTCGGCAGAGGGCAGAGCGACCTCCGGTGGCTCGGCGAGGTATGGCAGGCAGGCTGCTGCCCGACAGCTCCTGCCGGCGGCCGCGGGGCCAGGGAGGGCTGCCGGCGGCTGCGGGATGCGGGGCCAGGGAGGGCTGCCGGCGGCTGCGGGATGCGGGGCCAGGGAGGGCTGCCGGCGGCTGCGGGATGCGGGGCCAGGGAGGGCTGCCGGCACCCGGCAGGGCGGTGGGCTCGCAAACCCCACCTGGCTCCCCGGGAGAGCCGGGGCACTCCAGCCGGTGCTCCTCCGTGCTGGGCACGGGAAGCCACAGCCCCAACACAACCGCAGGTTCCGGGCGACACAGGAGACAAGGACTTACAGGAGAAGGCGCCAAGGTGCTCACCGTGGCTGCTGCACACATATCATACCCGTGGGCTTTCGGTTCTAAAAACAAGTCTGGGGTTGCTTCAGGCAATGCAACTGTGCATGTGGACTCTTAGAAATAGCACCCATGGCTCAGGTGGCTATCTCTGGTTCACCTGAGCATCATCACAGCGACACACCATCTTGACCCCTCTGTGAATAAACCCCATGCAGCCCCCAGCATGCAGGCAGCAACCCTCACCCACGCACCGTAACACCGTGATTCAGCACTGGCTCCAACATATATGGCACACACGATCTGTCAGTCACCTGTGCCCTGGTGCAATACATGATATTAGAATATGGTTAATAAGGTTACTATCTGGAGGATTACCCTGTTGGGCACATCCGTGGCTGGCTGTACTGCTGCAGCTGCACTCATCACTGGCACCCACCTTACCAGAGTGTGCCTTTGGGGCTCATCCCTAAAACACCCCTGCAGACTACAACAGCAGAGTTTCCTAACAAACCTACTGTTGGGGACACTTCTCTTCATTTTTTTTTTTTTTTATTTAGGGGGAAAAAAAAAAGAAGAATTTAAAAGTCCTCTGTTGGTTTATTACTATAGCTGCAAACTTAAACTAAATGTAACTTACTTCCTAATGAATCCACACTAGGCAGGCACCTAATGTGTCTCTAAGCATTACCTAAGCACACCTTCTCTTCATGATAACTTCTGTCTCCACGAGCTGTTGTGGGCCTTACTTGACAGTACTTTTTAGATACTGGAAGCTACAACTACAGGCTAACAGAATCAGGGTCTGTATGGGCAGGGTCTATATGTCCCCCACTGCCCAGTCTTACAGCAATCTCTGGGTTCAGTACAGGTAAGGACCTCAGTTTCTGGCTACATACTGGTTGTAGCAGATTAGCAGTCATTTACTGCCTATTGGAACCAAGCAGCTCAGGGTCACACAAGGCTTAAACACCTTTTTTCCAGTAGGATTGATGGAAAAAAACGTTCTAAACTGCAAAGTCCTTCTGGCTGTTCTTTTAAGGGCAAACTGTACCTCAATCCATACAGTTAGCAAAGCTACTTCTGCTCAAAGGATTTCTTTCACACTAGCACAAAAAGAATAAAACAGATAAAAGACCTCCCACCGCTGACTCCCAGGAAAACTCAGACTAGACTAGTCCCATCTACAGGAATAGCCTAAGGACTCTTAGATAACATCCTGTCCCTGGAAGATGGAGACGCGAGGCATCTTTGTCACAAGGTCCCTCACCTCTCCACAGATTACTGCTTTTGGCTCGACTCCCCGCTTTCCCTGTCACTGCCTTTCACTCTCCCCACCCTCTTTGACAACACATGGCGAGGAAAGTTTGCTGATAGAGTGAGTTTCTACAATTACACAGTATTTTCTGACCACTTAGCCTACTTTTTGCTTTTCACGTGACTCTCCTCTTAATAGTTTTTTTTTATCTCTCTCTTTACCTAAACGGAAATTATTAACATTTTTGCAATGCTCCCTCCTCTCTCAATCAGTAACTAGTGCACAAACGAAAGAAGCAGCTAACACTCTCTAATCCCGTGAATGTGGTGGGAGCAAAACCTTGTCCCAGCTTAAGTAACCGGCAAAATTCCACTGACCTCAGGAGAGGAAAAGCTATGCCCAGAGCTTTAACATCCAAATCACAAACTACATTTGGACAACTCATCCATGAGCATAGGGTGTTAACTGTTCCTAAAATTGCTGCTAACAAATTCAGGCACAACAGGAGCCAAATAAGGTCCATCTGTAACTGGCAACTAACTCCTCCAGCGACAGGTCCCAAAGACGTGACAATACCGATCAGCCTTTTATCAACACAAGTATCACCTACAAAACCTTTGTAAAGTAAACTTGCACTTTTTTAATGATGGGCAGGTTTGGATAGGTCAGTTCTTTCCTGCAGCTCACTCTTTCACACTGGAAATTATTCTGTGTAGAAAACGAGCAGCATTGAAAGAGGCAAGACTACACTCTAGGACAGTCCACTGACGTAAACAGACACAGGGGAAAAATCAGCAGGCACACAGAAAGATCACCCACTGTTTTTACCTTGCCAAACGAGGGACTTCTGTGACGTCTCCTCTGAAGAGTGTTTCGCTAACATCCCTTAAGCCATTGGCGATGCCTTCACCACAGCCCTTCACCTCCCCATCAGGGGGAAGCTGCAGGAACTCTGGCTGCCCGGAGGCTGGCGTCCGATCTAAAAACTGGCCGCCCTCCTTCATGCGCTGCTGGATCATGGGCGTGAGTGGCATCTCAAAGCTGAAGTAGCTATCGGGCTCCGAGTACAACGTCTCCAGCGACTCTGCGCTGTAGTATAAAGATGCATTGTCCAGGATGTTTTCAAACTGCGAGCTGTACAGATCAGTGGAGACGTCGGAGTGCCTCTGCCCAAGGACATCTTCGTATCCTCCCGTGGCTGCTTCTCCCTCCTCCATCACCCTGGAAATTAATCAGAAACAGCTCGTTTCAGCTCGGGGGCAAGGTTTAGACCTGTGGGTGAACCTCCTCGCCTTCCACCTTTGCAAACAGAAAGGTCAGAGTGGCTTTGTGCAAGAGAGGACACTGTGGGTAAAACGCTAGTTTGTCCTTGCACCACCTCTGTTCATGATTGGCACTATCTCCCTCTCCAAAGACATAAAAAGAAACAATCTTCTGGGTAAAAGAGGGGGGCGGGGGGAAAGCCTAATATTGCCTAACAGATAGCATCAGCTGCTTATGTGCAAAGGAGAGCAGCACTCACAAATGTGTAAGGTCTCCGCTAGCAGCACTGCCATGCCAGAGGCTGCACAGGTCGGAGATGTACAACCAGATGGGGCCTCTGCCCCCGGAGGACAGTTTGCTGGCTCTGCAGTCACAGGGCTGGGGTCTTCAGCGAAAGGCTGGGGGAAATCCCTCCAAAATGCAAAGGGAAGTAAATGCAAGTGAAAACCCAGAGCCAGGAGAACCAAATTTGAAGGGGGGAGACTCAGCCTGCTGCGGATGCAAACAGGAGGGTCTAGCACCCCCGCTGCGGGAAATCTCCTTCTCTGCTGCACCAAATACTTGAGGGCTGTCCACCCAAGTCATTCCACATGCTCACCAAAGCAAAACTCTGTGGATCCCGAGGTGCAGAGGCAGAAGCACCTCTGTTGCTGAGACCCTGTTGTTTCAGCAGCAAACAGCCCGCCAGGTCAGAGCGGGCACGGTTTGCTCAGTGAGCACTGGTGGGACCCTTTGCTTTGTTACAGATGTGCATCAGGAAAGAAAAGTGAGCAAATCGGGATGCTCTTGTGAAGAACAGCACACAATTTTTTCAATATATATAGCTAAAATTATATAAACACACATAGATAGATAACACAGAAAGTTCATCACAGCATTTACTCTCCTATAACATACAAGACCCTGGGTAAAACGTCTTCATTATCTGAACTCTCAGAGGAGCTTGCGCTGTTCTTTCATGAACTCTACCCAAAACCAGAAAATCTGGCCAAGCACTTATGTCCAGGCCTGCATGCTGCCTATATTTAAGTACATGCCATGTCTGGATCCCAACTACACCTGTTACAGATGCTTTGTAACACAGCCATTACTCTACAAACAGCCAAGAGACACCTCTGCATTTCTAAATCTGAGATGGACTTCAAACTTCAGCAAGGTCGTGTGAATGGGGTTCAGTCCCAACTTCACGCACTAGCCACCAACAGGCATGAGGTGCTACCACTGCCACCACGCTGCAGGCAGCAGATAAACATTCGTTGTTTGTCATGAGCTCCTAAAGGGGTAGGGACAAGCTTTGTCCCTTACTTGGGACAAGAGAAACCCCACCTGCCCCCTGTTCCCCCTCAAGCGCCATCTCACCTGCCCTGGCCTCTCACTAGCGCAGCCATCTCCTCCTCGCTGTGCTTCTCATCCTTCACAAAAACTTCATCCTCGCCACTTTCATCGAGCAGCGCCAGAGGAGTGGCTCCAGAGGCAGCGTGTCCCAGCCTTGGGTCCTCACAGACCTCCCTCCTCCGTGTGCTGTCCGGAGAGGAGACCAAGCCTGGCGAGACCACCAGTGGTGCAGGGTGGCTGGATGTTTTGGGGAACGTCTTCCTCTCCACGGACACAGTCTCCAGCAGTGAGTGCTTCTTTCTTTTCTGCTCCTCGGCTTTTTGCAGCCATAAAATCTCCACCCCTTGAAATTCTACATGTTTGCTCACAGCTGCCTCTTTAGAGAGCCTCCTCTCAGGACCCATTTGCATTTTGCCTTGACTGTACGCTGAAAACTCCTCAAAATGCGCCCACCCCTCCACTCTGCTGGCTGTTTCCAGGTTTGTCGCAGATGGTCTATGACAGCTTGTCTCCTGTGCTGCGTGGACCTCCTCGGCTTCATTACTGATGGCTTGCAAGGACTCGGACTGCTTTTCCCCAGTCCATATTGCAGCCAGATCTTTCTCTACTATCAAATGCATTTTTTCCTCAGCTGTTCGTTCAGATGGAAGAGGCATGTCTGAGGGTTTTTCTTGGCTTGCTGGAACTGGTTCTCTGGCTGCCTGCGCATTTTGGCTGCCAGTAACGCTCTTTTTTTCCATTTGCATCTCTGAATCAAGAGTATTTGCTCTCTCTTGCACCTTTGTTGCTTCCAGACGTCGAGAGATTTTCATAATCTCTGGCAGGTTACCCGCAGGTTGCAAACCTTCTTCTGGGGCGTGCAGCTGTGCTGCCCCTGTGTCAGGTCTCGAATTGTCTGCCGGAGCCGCACACTGAGGAAGGGGCCTGCCAGGAACCCGGTGGTGACCGTCCCGTCTTTCTGGACCATGTGTCACAGGCTCTGCCTGGCGCGGTAATGGAGCCCTCAGAGCCTCTCCACTTGGCTCTACAGTGCCATACTCTGGAAATTCATTGATGATGGTATGAGGGAGCAAAGTGTTGCTTCCACGGCCACTACCTGCAAAGAGAAAAAGAGAGTGGGTTTATCCACCGCATGCATAAGCAAAAAGCCTGACCTCCCTTCCCAGCCCTCTCCTAACAAGAGTAACTATGCTCTCCCCTGCAGGGAAAATACCGTTCAGTTGAACTCACTTCTGCACGCTCTCACACTGCAGTTAGCCAGAGCTGGTCTTTTTACACCGGAGTTTTTGGGCAGCCCTACTTTGAGAGTGTGTACTGAGGAGGAAGGAATGCCAGAAATGTCTGCTACACTTCAGAAAGGGTCCCAGTGGCCCATGAACAGTCTGAGGCCACAGGCCAGACGCAAAGGTTGAAGAAAGCAGATATTCAGAAGTCTGATATCCATCCACAGCATGCGCCATACATGTTGGTTTTATTAAAAAAAAAAAAAAAAAGAAAAAAAAAGTATTTAGGTCATTTTCCCTTGTAAAGATGAAACACTGGGAAGATAATCAGCCACACCCCTTATATTCCACAGCCTTGACAAAACCAATTAGCTAAATTATAAAGCAATTAATGAGCAATTTAACTTTCTGCCAGCACTACCCTCTTCCTTTAACAACTTGGGTAACTGCAGGCTGTGTTGCAGTGATGCATGCATGCTGAGCAGTTCACATTTTCCGTTGCAGCAAACTCACCACTACACAAAAAGCTTGCTACCCTTCCCCTCCTTCTGCTGCTTTTCCAACTGATGTAAACAAAGCAGGAGCAAAAATGGATGATCTCATTTTCCAAGTGCTGAGCACCCAGTGGCTCCCATTGTTGTAGGGTAACAGAGAGCCAGCTGTCCTCAGAGGGACCTCATGGATGACACAATGACGGATGCTTGGCCACCTTATATCACAGCCCAACGAGGAACTGCGCTTTTGGGAAAACAAACAAACAAAATAGCAACAGCTGCATTTGCTGCATCCTTCTGGAAAAAAATTGGCCTGGAGTCTAAAAGTGCTTTAAAACAAACAACAGGGGGATCAGATCCAAACACCTACTCCAAAAAACGTCAGGGGTGACAGCTTTGAAACCAGATGCCAATTTGCACTTGGATGCTTTGCCCCACTTGAGGTGCATCTCTAGGTACTGCATTGCAAACCGGTCCCCAGCCCTGCTCCTAGCAGGCTGGCCACAAGCTATTTCTGAGGAGGAAGCCATGCAGCTGTGGTTAATGGTAGGCTGAGTTTCAGGCGAAAGGGAGGATAATTTAACACGAGCTCAGCACCAGACTAATGTGGCTATCTATCTGCCAGTGGTTTGTAAAGGCGAGCAGCAGCTCACACCTGCCAGCCCACTATCCAGTATATCTAGCCACAGGGTAAATACCACACATCACTGCGTGTGGTGCAGAATCAAAGTGACAGACTTGGACCATGCCAAACCACAGTCTCTTCCCCAATAGGTTCGTCAGATGTCTCCACGCTGTTGATTTAATCACTCCATAATAAAACTTCAGTGGGTCAGGTTTCACCTACATGACTCGGTTGCTGGTACAGACAGTGACTGGACAAAGCAGGGACTTTTTCTTTGCCACAAGGGCCAAGGGAGTTGTGAGGAGCATGGATGCCCTCTCCCCTTCTGCATTACCACACTGCCTTCATGACATGGTTTCCAACACACGGGTGTGGGTACACTGGGAGTCCGAAGAAGGGAGAGCAAGGTCCCTCTCCCCACGTGAGCGTTCCCAGGCATGGTGTCTTTTCTAAGTGCCCGAAGCCTCAGACGAACAGCCCCCTTTGCCCACAATTCAGCCACGCAGTGCGTGGGTGCATCCCAAGCCCACCCGCTTCATGGCACAGGTGCCAGGTTGCCACAGGGACACGCTTCCACCAGGACGGACTCACGGATGACAACAATGCTGTGTGGCTGCAACGATCCTGCACCTGCAGCGGGACCAGCCCAGGCCAGCAAAAGGCCCCGGCTCCCCACCCTGCAGCTCTGCCCTGCTCCCATGCGGCACCATTAGTGCTCGCTGCTCTCTCAGCATGTCTCTGGAGACGGGATGTCATAGAATCATAGAATCATAGAATTGCCCAGGCCGGAAGGGACCTCCAAAGGTCATCTAGTCCGACCTCCCCACAGTCAGCAGGGACACCCCCAACTAGACCAGGTTGCCCAGGGCCTCATCAAGCCTCTCCTTGAATATCTCCAGGGATGGGGCCTCAACCACCTCCCTGGGCAGCCTGTTCCAGTGCTCCACCACCCTCACAGTAAAGAACTCCCTCCTAATCTCCAGTCTAAATCTGTTCCCCTCCAGCTTGAAGCCATTGCCCCTCATCCTGTCACTGCAGGCCTTTCTAAACAGGTTCTCCCCAGCCTTCATGTAGGCTCCCTTCAGGTACTGGAAGGCTGCTATTAGATCTCCCCGGAGCCTCCTCTTCTCCAGGCTGAACAACCCCAGCTCCCTCAGCCTGTCCTCGTAGCAGAGGTGCTCCATCCCCCTGATCATCCTTGTGGCCCTCCTCTGGACCCTCTCCATCAGGTCCATGTCCTTCTTATACTGAGGGCTCCAGACCTGCACACAATACTCCAGGTGAGGTCTCACCAGAGCAGAGTAAAGGGGCAGAATCACCTCTCTGGACCTGCTGGCAACGCTTCTTTTGATGCAGCCCAGGATGCGATTGGCCTTCTGGGCTGCAGCTGCACCCTGCCTGCCCATGTCCAGCTTCTCATCCACCAGAACCCCCAAGTCCCTTTCCTCAGGGCTGCTGTCTTAAGAGAGAACTGCCAACAAGAAGCCGGCCACTCTATGGATGCTAAGGAAAACCCCTCCTGGTGGACACAGGTGAACGCAGGTCCTAAAGCAACTCTCAGCTTGGAGACCTGCAAGCAGGAGGTGTCCCCAGCCGGGAGCTGCCTCAGGCTCCCAGCACCTTGGCCGTGGCACTGCTTGGGCCGCAGGCTCTGGCCACCTCCTGAAGGAAGGCCATGCAGGACGCCTCAGGAGCCAGAACCCCCCCTCGCCTCCCTCCGACCCAGGCACCCCGCCTGGCTGGAAGGAAGCCCACGGCGTCAGCCCCAGGCCCCCCATGGGGCTGGGATGCAGCCAACACGCACTGGAGGCCAAAGCCCTGGCGAGGCACCGCACACAGACCCTGCCAAGGCGCCAGGCTCGTCTCTGCTAATTGCTATCTTAGCTTCTGAACTGAAACAAGGGAAACAGAGGCAGCCCTGTTTCTGGCGGTGAATGCTAAATGCACGGCCGCGCGTCCCTACCCGCCACCGGCAGCTGCTGCTGGCGGCAGTAAGTAACCCCAAGCACGTTTCTCATTTACCTCTCCTCCTGAACTTCACCCCAAGCAAACTTTACCCTCTGGCAAGCCCAGCAGGTTCAAGAGGTACACAGACAGAGCACATACACGGGCACAGAGAGAGGTGCAGGAGGAGGGAGCGTGCACACAGGTACTCCTCTCTGCCACACTCACAAGCCACATTTCACCCGGGCAAGAGGAGCACTTTCACAATAGAAATTTAAAGCCTTTTTTCTACATTGAGGTGCCAGCAGCCCTGCTCCGGAAGGACTGCTACTGCTGCTGTACGAGAGCACAAGTCAGCAGGATTCTTGCCTTCATGACATCCTGCAGGAACATTGCCTAATTCACCGCCTGATTAAAAAAAAATAATTCACATATGGCACCAAAGCAGAAGATTGTCCCCATTACGTTAGGTACCACCATGCCCATGACTGAGGTCTCCACTTCGTGCAGTAAACTCCCCGCTCCTAAAAGGTGTAAAGCCTTTGCCTTTGCTCAGAGAGCCAATTTCAGGTACCAGAGCTTAGAGGAGCTTGAGCTCTTTAAGGAAAACTCCTCCCTTATTCCCATCCACCACCACAGCATCATGTCTTGCTGCAGCTACTGGCATATCCTGTCCAACCCCATCCCCCAATATGACTGCATTACAAACAAGGCTAGAAAGGCAACCACAAAATTTAAGGACCGCACTGAAGATGAGCAGGGAAAAAAAAATACCCATCACCAAACAAACAAAGAAAGGACACACATTCTCAGGTAACACCAATTTCTACTTTGCATTGAAGGTGGCTTCTTTCAACAAAGGAAAAAAAAAAAAAAGGAAAGGAAAAAGGAAAGAAAAAAAGAGATAATTAAATGGAGAGAGAAAAAGCTAAAAGAGAAAGGGGGTGAGTGGCTAGAAAATTGAAACCGGGCAAATATAACCTAACAGCAGTTGGCAGCCTTTCTGATGACTAGACGTTGAAAGAATTCATGACTTAAATCAGGCATAGATATGATATTTCATAGGTAAATAACCATTCCATCTCAAGCAAGCTTGTCTACAGCATAATAAAAGGAAATTCTAGGAAGCAAAACACAAGTTACAAGCATAGACAGACATTTTGTTTACAGGTACATTTTACAAAAGAATGGTGTGAGTGTCTCTATCTATACAGTATATATATATATATATTAGCTAGCTCAAGAAATTAGATATATTTGCTTGAACAGTCTCCTTACTCACAGAGGTTACTGTAGCTCCAGCAGTTACCCATTGGTCAAAGAAATAAAATGCACAGATCATCAGTTTATCTATAGCGATACCAGCTAATTCAATTGCTGCTGTTCTAGTCAACTGGAATCAAAATAGTTTCAAATTTCCTGGCAGCTGCTGCCCTGCACTGCACACAATGATGTAAATGGATGCTTTCTGAGTATTATGAAACTGATGGGGGAACTGCAGTCTCATTCAGTCTATCGCAGGAGCTAAGAAGTCCACCTTGGCAGCTTGCAGAGGGGAAAAAAAAATTTCCTCCAGCAAGGCTGCCTGACGGTATGCCAGGGAGACGTCTGTGCTTAGCTGCCGCATCCATAAGGGAAGAAACGGGCAGAATGGCGATGCTGAGAGTCGTGTGCTGGCTTTAGGGCGCGGGGTGCCTGGCGGCGTTTCGGCATAACTGAGCTGGAAGGCTTCACAAAGCAGCCCAGTCAATCTTGCATTTTATTTCTCCCCATCTCCTTGCGCCGATCACCAGCAGCACGTGGGTGAGCC